CTTTAACATTTTTTTTTAGTATTTTCATTAATTTTTTTTCAGTTAAGCAATTATTTTCACTTTCTCTCACACTTGTCCACCAATTGAAAAGAAAAATAAAAACCTCTAAAATATACTTATTGCAGGCCTGGGAGACAGCACAGAGATGGAAAATGGGACATTAAGGTTCTCCTCTGAAACCCCTTCCAGATCTCCAAGTCCACAAAGCAAAGACTGTATGGCATAGCCTGGTTAGATGAGAATATCCAGAACACAAGCATGCAGTGTTTTTAAGAAACTGACTTGATTATGAGGCAAGACACTATTTATTTTCATTACTTATTCTTCTTTTCTACATAACTTATAGCTTCATCCTTTTTTGGTTCCCAGCTGTGGGACAAACTTCTCACTGACACTAAGATCCATGGTACTTTGTGGGCATTGTGCCATGGTCCCCTTTTTGCCAGAGGTCTACCTTCTACCTTGAACCTTTACCTATCCCCTTGCTACACTTAATTGACTCAAGTCTTGTTTCCAAAAAACTTCAGTGACTTGATGATGCAGAAGAGTCTTTTGTCGCATTTAAAAATGAAATCCCCACCTCTGGTGTGTCTGGTGATCACATGTCCAAGAGAGCTTATCTCTAAACTGAGCTGGAAAAGGAAATGGCAAACCACTCTAGTATCTTTGCCAGGAAAACCCCAAATGAGGTCACGAAGAGTTGGACATGACTGAAAGGATTCAACAACACCAACAAAAAGTTAAATACAAGGTAGTTTGGGACAGAGGGCATGAGCCATTGAGGGGATCAAGAAAATCCTCATGTAGAAGATGGCATTTGAGCTGGCATTTTGAAAGAAGGAAAAAAAACACTATGAGGCTTTATCAAGGACTTATAATGTACTGAGAATGTCTGTAGGGGTGTTCTCAAACTATTGAGCTGAAAGAACCTCACTGCCAAGGTATCCCAATATTAGCTTGAGATTTCCTGTATCCCGAGGCATGGCTATTAAAAACGACCAGAATAAAATAGAACCATTTAGGCAGCTCTGCTTTGATCTTACAGTCACATGAAGGGTGAAAGCTTTAATGCTATGTATTTTCCCAATAATAAACTTGACTTTAATTTCATTTGGTTAGATCACATTAGTTCACTCCTGGATGATGTACAATTTGCTCTCATTGTTGAGATAAAGAAAAGGGACAAGATGAACTGGGAATGATGTAGAAGACAATGAAAACTTAGTATTTCTTCCAAGCAGAAAATAATTTTTTTCTTAAAAAAATGGAAATTAGAAAAGGAGCCACCATTTTGGTTTATTCTTGTAATTCACGAGTGCCTCATATTATTTTTATGTTGTTATGCTCCACAACTATATTAATCAGTGTTGGGCTGGGGTTTTTTTTTTTTGGACTCTTGAGAAATTAATCTGTCTTGAGAGGTTATATCTGAAGTAAAACATTTGCCTTCTACATTGCAAACACGAGGCATTTTACTGTGAAGAGCCCATAAATAAGATGTATTCAAGAGGAAAATATGAGAACACTAAAGACAAAAGTCCCCAAACACCTTCATCTAAATAGACTCCTGAGAAGTGTATTCCTCATATATATCCTCTCTATTCTTGATTGTGACCAAGAAATGATATGTTTTCTTTGTTTTATCAAACTCTTTTGGGTCTATTTTTTTTTGAAGAGATTATCTAGAAAAATAGAAAGACCCCTTTCTCACAGGTTGTTACATTAAACTTTTCACTCTTCCCAAGGGTATCCTTCCAGAGTAACTCGGACAGAGGTGTAACTAGGGTGGGGTGACTAGAGCTTAGCCATTAGTGCTAAATTTTGAAGGTACCAAAGGTTCTTATGGTCCATCACCAAAAACCAACAAAACCCACCACCCAAATATGTTTCTTTTTTTCCTTTTTGGTCTAGGTTTGTTATTTCATTGTTGCAGGGAAGCTCTAACACAACAGATTGGCAACTGTCCTTTACCCTGTGAAGTCCTAGAGGATGTCCTGGGCCATGGAGAAATTAAGTGACTGGTCTATGGTCAAATAGTCAGTATGTTTGAGAGGCAGGACTTGAATGCAGGGCTCTAAAAGGACAGGGTTCTTTTATCTATTAATTCACACTGCCTTTCAACATCTAGTTTCCAAGAAGTATTGGTTAAAATGGGAAGCTACCAGACAATCCATTTACATTTCCTGGAGTACCTGCCTCAAGGGAATTCTTCTCTGGCCTAGCCCTTCTCCGCTCAATCCTCACCTAGCCTGGAGGTGTCCCTCCCACTCCCACCCCTAGTTCTTACCAGGCTTAAAAATTTTGAGTTACAGCTCTGGACTTCTCTGCAATGTCAGCAGGGGCTGGGAGGAGCAGAAGATTCTGCAATCCAGGCTTGGGAAGAACCTGCCCTCTATAGAACTTTCTGCCTGCTGCAGGGCCTTAGAGAAGCCATGAATTTTTTTTTTTAACTGAGAATTGTCATAAGCAATTTAGGTGGTTGGCACAAGCTTAATAAATAAACCCGGGTAATAAGCATGGAGTGTATCTTCAAATAATTTTTTTTTAATGACAAAATCATTTGAGGTAGAAAGAAAGGGGTACAAGGCCCCACGGGAGGGGGCCCGGGTAATAAGCATGGAGTGTATCTTCAAATAATTTTTTTTTAATGACAAAATCATTTGAGGTAGAAAGAAAGGGGTACAAGGCCCCACGGGAGGGGGGATTGAGCCTCATGGGGGGAATAGCCACAGCAGGGAAAAAAGCATGATATCTGATGGCTGTCTATGTTAACTAGGACCATCTAGGTAGAACGATGGATAGAATGCTGGGCCTGGAGTTAGAAAGGCCCAAGTCAAAATTTGGCTTCAGTCTCTTATTAGCTGTGTGACCCTGGGCACATCGCTTCATTTCAGTTTACTGTACTGTCAAAGTGGAGATAATTATAATACCTACTTCCAGGGTTGTTAAGATCAAATGTGATAATATTTGTAAAGCACAAGCACAATGCCTAGCTGGTAGTGTTTAATAAATGCTTATTGCGCTCCCCACTCCTACCTCCTGAGCTTGGTTCTTTTTCTGCTACTGAAGCGATGTAAACGCTCTCATCGCCCCTTAAATTTTAATGCCATAGAACAAAGGCTCAGTCAGACTACCTTTGTCTTAACTCTGCTAAGTGTGTGTGGTTAGTGTAAGTGAACTGGAACGTTTGGGTTATATGCCATCTTAAGAGCAAGGTATCTCATATGTCTGCTTTTTAAAGAGGTAGTGTGATCACTTTTGGAGGCTCTCAGGATGGATATGAAGGATGAAGAGACAATTCTGGTCTCTTTTCACACCTCATGTGCAGTTCAGAAATAAGGAATCGGAGCCTGCCATATGGTCTATAAACTTTTTTTGTATCATGGCCAAGGACAGACACACTGCCACTTGTCTTAGTCAATAAGATTAAGGACTAGACTTCATTGATTTAGGGAACTTCCAGATGAGTGAATCCTCCCTACCAATGCACATTCCTCCCTTCTCTGCAATTTAAATTCTTAGAGGATTGCTTGGAGCTCTGGGAGGTTGTGACTTGCCCAGGGAAGCCCAGCCAGTATGTGTCAGGGCATGCCTTGAACCAGGTCTTCCTGGTTCTGAGGCTAGCTCCTTACCCACCATGTCAGATTGCACCATGCTACATTGTCTCGCTTCTTCACTGATTGCTCTAACAAAAGAAAAAAAAATCTGATCCGAGAAGATGAGACAACTAGTGAGGAGACGTTAAATTGCTTTGAAAAGGAAGGTGTTAGAAATGAGTTTTGTCTGACCATCTAGTGTAATATTTTCTCTTGGGACATTTTTTGGCTTTTGGTTTCTGGCATTTGTTGTCAAGAGTTTTCTCTTACAGAGTAGATTTTTCAGCATACCAAGAAGCTTAATAAAAGCACACGGTCAGCCAGAAAGCATGAGCCTCTAGGCTTGAAGGAAGCTGCATGGAAATGATTTATGGGATGCATGCATGAATATGCCTTTTCAGTTAGTAACTCTATATCGTGTGTAACCAAAATCGCATTTGTGTTTTTATTCAAAACATTTTTCTTATTTTTTCTCAAGAATGTCCCTCTAGTTTTATGAATTTTTATCTTACATGCTTTATCAAGGAAAGGAGAAAAATTCATCTATCTATTAGTAATAAAGTTATAAGGATGTAATTATTGCTTACATTAAAATCAAGTTTATTAATTTCTGGTGGACTTGTCAAAATTTGTGCATGTGGAATGTGTGTGTGTATGCGTGTGTGTGCACATGCACATGACAAATACCAGATTTATGCATAAGAAATTAAATAAGCTTTACATCATTATATGAAACCTCATTTCAATTATCTTAAAAAACTACCCGCTTTATTTTATTTTATGAGAACTTTTTTCTCCTATAAAACATGGCTGGAGACAAATGGGCTATCATATTGGCCTGAGCAATCTTTTTGTTATGAAGAGATCTTTCAAATGCTATCTGGTGCATCCCTCCTTTTCCCCACCCTACCAATCTTGTGATTTCATCAGAATAAGAATTCATGATATGGAAACTCCCTCCACTGATTTATGGCAATTCATCCAAAATGTATTGTCTTAAAGAGTTTCTGGGGGTACTAAGAAGTCCATGACTTGCCCAAGGTCTTTCAACCTAGGTCTTCCTTCAAGACCAGCAAGTTCTCTATCTATGCCACACTGCTTTCTCACCCAGAATGAGATACAGACATAAATATAAACATGGACATGTGAAGAGAAAAAAAAATTCCTCAACCATGTTGACTCTTTCTCCTTCCATTAAACTGGTCTGGGTACATAAATTACAATTTGTTGCACCATGAAAATTGCTGTGCTGGTTTATATCTAACAGCACATATGGTATTATAAAGCTTTGGTTGGAAAGAATCATCTCCCTTTTCGGAAGCAAATATGTAAGTGCACCATGGAAAGAAAATCTGAATTTCATGACTGCCCAAATTAATTAATGAAATGAAGAAAATGAATTACCTGCTGTATTTGATGTTACTGGCCTGGCAATGGCTTCTGCTTTGGTTTCACAGAGAAAGTCATCGATAGAAGGGCTTAGGAGGGGTCTGCTTTCTTGCTGCTCATTCACCAGCTGAGAACAAATGAATACAGGTATCAGAAAGCTTGATTTCGCAGCAGAACCAGACCAATTATGATGCAGCCTTGCAACAAAATGGGAATAGCAAGCCTACCAAAAAAAAAATTAACTAAACAAAAAATGAGCCTTCCAGCATTATCGAGATTCTCCCTGCCATGCTCCCCCTCCAATGCAGTTATCTTTAATTTAAAAGCCTTTCATTTAAGCTTTTCGCCCACTCTGGAAGGACCTTTGAATCATTTTTTATTGTCAAAATGCCAGCAGGACTCTTGCTTAGCCTCCATTATTAATAGCCAATCCTTGATTTCTCACAGGCAAATCAAGAAACTAACTCACACTAAGAGTAGAAGGAAAGCTGCTGTTTCACAGTGTATGTCTTCTAGTTTGGATGGCCTAATCATAATGTATTATTGTGTTCCTGTGTGCTTGTGAGACCTCTCAGCACACCCGTATGTACTTACATGTGCATATACTCCCTCTTAGTTAAATATAGAAACACCCTGAGTTCCTTTGGTATTATCTTGTGTTGAATGAAAACACCGCTTTATCAGGGTGCTGTTGAAAAGGGTGTCAATTGTACAGGTGCTCTGGGTAATAGTCATTTCCCTAAAAAGTTGGTGTGCCAATGAAACTTTTGTCATCATACTCCCTGTTGTTTTCTATTCTAATGGCAAAGATCCTGCTGTTGGTTTCTCATTGGTTTATAACTGGAAGGAGGCTCCTAATACTTTGTACATAATTTGTGTCTATGCTCTCAGTGGGGCAGCAACTTGTATTTTTGTCGCTATCTGCATTGCTTACCACAGTGCCTGGCATACAGCAGGCACTTAATAAATGTTTGCTAAATTTAATTGAGCACCTTAGTTTGAAGCTGCTCCATTTAACTCTTCCCCTGGCTCCTGCCTGGCCACCTTTGATTAATGATCTAGAAGTAAACATGGATGTTTACATGGGAAGTCACTTAGAGGAACCCTTTGGGAAACCCACTTGGAAACTGAAATCTTCCTATGTGATTCAACTACTCCCTCTATAATTTATCTTCTTTGCAAGATTAGATTATTACTATTTTTCATTGACTTAAGATGGCTCATGTATTTCTGGTTTGTTATTGGAGGGAGGGAGAATGACAGACTAAGAAATAAGTAGATATTTCACATATATTTAGAAAGCTAAGTCAGAAATATCTGCTTTAACTTCTAAAGCAGTCAATCAAAGAGGTTTCTCAAGACCAGGGATGCAGCCTTGCTTCAGTCAGTTACATTTTGTTGTTTCTCTGGCAGAATGACCCAGGTATGGTAATAGAGACTGCTGCTGATAACTATGGCTGCTGATAACTATGGCTCCTTCATGAATTGGGGATATTTTTAAATAAGTAAAAGGGAAGGAAGTATTTAATGCTTAGAGTATGTGAGCTCTGTTAGGGCAGGGATTATTTCATTTCTGTCTTTGTATCTTCACAACCTAGCATAGTAGGTGCTTGATAAGTGCTTTTTAAATTGATTGAATTATTAGATGGTTGAATGGGGTATTGACCACATCAGAGGCCCATTTAATTTGATTCATCTGTACCATGAGACTCTACCTCTCTGATGAATCTCTGTCAGCAGCCAGGGTGGGTCATTGGGATTCACAGTCTGTAATCTGATGGTGATGAATGTGAATCTTTGTTGACTTCTCTGAGCCTTGGACAGCTCTCTTAGCTACCAGGTTATAAACAGGTTATATCTGCCCTGTGGTCAGGGAGGATGATCTCTCACAACTGGAATCATGGTAGTCCTGGTTAAGGGAGAACCTTCAGTCATACTCTTTCATTTTATGGTTCAAGTCTCACTTGAGAACATTTTTTTTTCATTCCTCGAATAGCTTTTGTGTGTCTTTGATGTACGAAGGTCCCTTGATAATGTGGAGACAACATTCTAAGGATGTTCCCACAAACCAAGAAGGGATTGAGTTCTAGCGTTGCAAGGGTCCTCATTGCTAGGCCTCTGCCTCCCAGTGAAACAAGTTTGAATGTTTTGGGACTATACACTCATGTTTTGGAAAAAATACTAATTGAATTTAATAGAGTGTGGGCCAGCCTGAGTTTCTGAGTGTCTGCTATGATTATATTTACTCATATAAAAGTCACCATTAGTAGCCAGAAATAGAATTGAAATGTCCTGGATTATTTTTTTCCAGAAAATACAAAATTGTTCCTCTCCCTGCTCTAGGTTTCTGATGGTCTGTGCTCCTTGGGAGGCAGTGTGGAATAGAGGAAGGACTGTTGCTGGGAGTTAGAGGGTTCAAATCCTTGCTCTTTCATTGCTACCTGGGTGACCTTGGACAAGTTAGTCAACCTCATCTGTAAAACGTTGAGGCTGGTCTCCACGTCCTCTAATAAGATTCCTTCAAGTTCTAAAGCTTTGATCCTGGGATCTAACACGTACCATGATCGTTGCTCAAGCTTTTGAAGCCTAATGATCTTTGCTGTACTTGCCAACTATCTATCTCTGACAATTCCAAGTGAATATACACTCTGACAGAGTTATCTCTTTTGAGATTGTCCACTTCATGATCACTAGGGCTTGGCATGCTTTTCACTTCCTGGTGGGAGCCACATTTTATGTCATGAAAGGTTGATGGCTACCTGTACAAGCTTTAAAGTCTATTGAGCTAGAAAGCTTTAATAGCTGAAGAAGGGCTCTATTATTGTGGTACTATGCTGTGCTTGTGATAGTCCAAGGAATAGCAATTACCAAAGAGAGTCTCTTAAAGGCAAGAATTGATTCACCTTTGCCCTTGTATCTCCAGCTTTGGCTTTTGTATTCCCAGCACCTGGCCTTAAGACTTAGCTTGAATCTCACCTTCTGCAGAAGACCTTTCCTAATCTCCTTAATTGTCAATGTCAGATAACCTTTCAGAAGACCTCATCTATATACTCTATATGGGGCAGCTAGGCCCTCTTTGAGAAGGAAGGACAATCAATAACCATGGGGCAGCTTAGATGGCTTAGGAGGCCTGGAGTCAGGAAGACCTGGGTTCAAATCTAGCTTCAGAAACTTACCAGCTGTGTGACCCTGTGTAAGTCACTTAATTCTGTTTGCCTCAATTTGCCTCATCTGTAAAATGAGCTAGAGAAGGAAATTGCAAACCATTTCAGTATCTTTGCCAAGAAAACCCTAAATGGGGTCAGAAATGACCAAACAACATATATTCTGTATATTTGTTTCATGTAACTATATAATTTACATGTTATCTCCTCCATCAGAGTGTATGCTTCTTGAGGGTAGAGACTATTTTTTGGCCTTTCTTTGTATTCCTAATGCCTAGTGCAGTACCTGGCACGTAACAAGCACTTTATAAATGTTTGGTGACCAGTGGACTTAGCAAAATTTCTGGCACATAGTAGATATTAAATTAGTGCTCCATAATTGGCTGATTTTAGCACTTCTGTTGTACAGCCCAGATCCAACCCACGTTCATTGGCTGCCATGTACTCACTAATAAGAGGAATACAGTATTTTCAACCCAAGCTGTTATTTTAAGAGTTGAATATCCACGTCAGGAGCAAGTCTAGAATCACGTGCAATGACTGTTGGAAACCATTTTTATTTGTTACTATAATTTAGTTGAAAGAAGAATACAAGTTAACAACCAAAGAGGGCCAGCCTCATTGGCCATAACTTCAGGACATCTCAATGTGGTAAGAATATTAGGTAAGCATAATTTGCATCACTTTGGCAGGCTTTAGACTTTTTTTAAATAGTAAATTTAGACTAAATTAAACTGTTTTGCAGAAAAAAATAACTAAACATTCATTGCTTCCCAAAGCAAGAGCTCTTTGCATTGCTTATGACGATAAATATAAGGAATTGGTCTAAACTAACTCTATCTTCAGGAGAAGAGCAGCAATCAGTTCCCAGGGTGGTAGATTTCTCTAACTTGTGCTCAAATGTAAGTTATATAGAGCTTACTGTCAAGAGTAGACTTGACAAGAAAATAATATTACTATATAGGGGAGAAAATCATCAGAAAGTAAAAGAAAAAAAGATAGTAGAATGGTTTATTTACATAAAAATGTCATATAGGAAACAATAAGGAAATGGAATAGTTTGTCTACAGAAAACCTGCACATGGGAGGCAATGGATGAGGCAGCCTGGTGAATTGGATAGACTACTGGTCTTAAAGTCAGGAGAACCTGGGTTTCAGTCCTGCCTCTGAAATACACTGGCCATATGGCCCTGTGCAAATCATTTAACCTATCAGTCAACTCTGGACTATATGTTGCAGAGGAGGGTTCAACCTGTTTTCACAGAAGGAGTTTTCTTCCTAGGAGCTCCTTATACCTGTGAAATCACAGGTCTGGTTCAAAAAAGAAAAGGAAATGGGATGGTTTGTTTACATAAAAACCTATGTGAGAAACAGTAAGGAAGTGGGATGGTCTGTCCACATAAAAACCTCATTTGGGAAGCAATAAGGGTATTTTTCCTACATAAAAATTTCATATAGGAAACATAAGGCAGTAGGATGGTTTAGCTACACAAAAATCTCATAGGAAACAGCCCTCTTAGGAAACTAAGGAAGTGGGTAGGCTTCTTGGCAGGCTTAATGCTTGTAGGCAAATCTGCTGAAAGTTACCAGAAGGGTTTCAGCCTTCTCTCCATCTCATTCAAGCAAGCACTTCTTGGATTTTTTTTTTTTAAATAGAAAGATTGCTTAGCAGCCTTTAATTATCTTGGTGGCTGAGGGAAACAGAGGACCAGGAAATACAGAATAAAGAAATGGACTTTTTAATGTGAATAATGCTAATTCCAATTCCTTTTATTTTGATGTTATTCATAGGAAAAGAAAGGTTTTGATTAGATGGTATTTATTTGATTCTTTTAATATCAGTCTCTCCCCCCATCCTCGGGACCTCATCTTCTAACATACAGTTGACACTAAGGCTGCTCTAAACCCACCACCACCATCTATCTTCCATCCTTGAATTCCTTAGGCTAACTTTCCTGAACAT